TGGGTTTCATAGCTCATACAACAGATATGATAGCCTCTGTTTCGGTCTTACAGCTCAGAGAGGAGATACGATAGCTTCTGTTAGGGGCTTACAGCTCACACAGGGGATATCATAGCCTTGGGTTTGGTACTTACAGCTCAGACAGGAGATACAACAGCCTCTGTTTGGGTTTTGCAATCTGACAATAAGCTTAAACTTCAGCTCTGCGGGAGAGAATACAATTAAATAACAGGACAAACAACTATCCCTGAGAAATAAAGCTGCTTTTGAGAGTCATTTGACCTGCTTTAGGGGGGTTTTAAATTCCCATAGATGTATAGGAATGGAAATTCCAGTTAGTGAGAACAAAAGCCTGTGGACACCGGGCCTAATAAATACCAAGGTCTGGATGATATAATTGGTTTGATTAATATAGTCCAACTTACAACATTCACTGTCATTAATTGCAATTCTTACATAAATCCCTAATCCAAGTTATTATTGGGATGAAAGTGATTCTATAAAGGGTGAAAATGTCTTTCAGGAATGCCAATTGGATTGGATGCCAACATTAAAAACAAAGCCTTTTGTTACCTATTAATATAAAAAGCTGAATTTTAATTTTTGATTTATTAGATATCCTGCCATGATGCCAAATGTATCATTTATATTAGAAATATAAATTATGTGTTCTGCTGAGTTACTGATGGATAAAATCATGTTGTCAGCAAATACTGAAATTTAGCATTTTGATTCACCAATCTGAACACCATACATTAATCAGGCACGAAACGAAAACTCTAGGTCTAGAACAGGGGTGGGCAACTCCAGCTGTTGTGGAACTACAAATCCCATGAGGCATTGCAAGACTGACAATTACAGGCTGGACTCCCAGAGGCATGTTGGGATTTGTGGTTAAAAGAGAACTAAGGGGTAAACTTTTTTCCCCATAGTTCGCTTTAAGGTAATGGGAGGACATATACTAACGTCCTCCTGTGACACTCAAAACTCAGCATATACTGGGCCATTGCCCGCTATATGCTGAGGGCCCTGCAGCCTGGACAGATCCTGACAATACTGTCAAGATCCACCCCGCTGGCTGATTGACAGTGGGCATTGCCTATCTAGAGGCAGAGCCAGCTATGCCCGCCCCCCTCCCCAGTCCATCCCTCCAGTCAGTGCTGGAGGATCGGAGAGAGGAGGGGGGAATCCCTGTGGGGAGCGGTGACTGACCGTCACCACTCTCTGCAGTGAGATGATCAGGAAGTGAGCAAGCGGTTGTATGATTTCGCTCACTTCCCAATCAATAGAGCCGATGTTAGACAGTTTCAATGTCCTGCGTCGGTTCTAACTATGGGTATAAGTGTAATTTACTCACCCCATAGTTCTCCTTTAAAGCACAGCTACAGGGCCAGATTTGCCCACCCCTGGTCTAGAATAAAGTCCATAGTTACCGCACACATCACACCACATACAATCTGATATGGACAATCTCATTTACAGTAGATCTACCAACAAGTATGTAGTGTAAGAGCCTGTATGATTGGATACAAATTATTGGATGGATTAGCTAGATCTTCATATTATATAGCTTTGGTTGGTTCAATTACACTGTATCTATGTACATTCAAGAGACTGCAAGTGTTTGCATGAGGTCAAGCAGTTGGAAGAGCAGCAATTTTTAGACATTAAAGTCACACTAAACTCAGGAGTTAAATCTTAAAAATGCATTCAACTATCCTAACCATTAACAGAAATGTATCTTATTTGTGTATCACTCGTCTGTAGATCCTAAAAAAATAATCTCTGAATTGGTGCTGACACTGTCCTTCCTTCTGGAGGGTGGTTACTTTTGTTCCCCATGGTCCCTGTGTGTGTTGTAAAGTAGTCACTGCTCCAAGCTCAATCTTATGATGGACTACAATCTCATGTTTAATTAGCTAATTTGTATTGAAGTTACAGTCTATCACAGGAGTGAGCTTGGAGTGATGGCTACTTTACATCACACACAGGGACCATGATGAACAAAAGTTAAACATTACAGTGTAATTACAGTGCAGCAGGAGGGCCTACCTAAACGGTCACTTTAATTTATATCCATTCAACTTGTTCCTTTGACTATTGAGTTGTTGACAGTATAAAGGAGACTTACAGTCAGATTGCAACATATGTGGCCACCTTTATTCCCAGCAACTAGAGCTGTCATCAGAATTGTAAATAAAGGGACAAATATAAATCTTAGACGGGTAAACTTGTACATCTATGATAAAGTTAGGCTGAATATTTAGACTTGCATGAGCTCAATTGACCTGTTCTCTTTAAAGTAGAATGGTGAGATCCAAGTACCAAAATACAAATAAAGTACGAAGATGTGAATTTTATATAAAAAAAGGCACTTTATTTGAGAAGTAATACACCTATCCATCTCAAGGATGTTGCACCCCCTCCATAAAAAAAAATAGCACATCCAAAAAGCAGGATTGTTAAACAAGTAGAAGAGTAAACGTGCTTCACACAATTCTGTGGCAGTTCAGAAAGTCATAGCAGACTGAAAAGAAATAGTACTTTTCAATAACATTGAATTTAAACATGTTTGTGTCACAGCTTAAATATATTAAAAAAAAAAAAAAAGGAAAACTGAGTTTTTAGTTATTTGTATAACAGATAATTTAAATGGGAATACAAAAAATAAAAATGCCTACAGGAAGCCAAGTGATAATATAAGAAATATTTTCTAAAGAGTAGGAGAACGTTTCAAATGTCTGTAAAATAGGCTAATAATAATTTCCGCCTTGCATAACTATTGTTTGCAGGTGTGGGATTACAAGATCTCTAGCCAAAGTTCTTTGCTCTTAATCGGGCAGCTGGAGAGGGCTTGTGAAGGTATTGGTGTTTCTCCAGTTTTATTGCAACCTGGAATAAAAATTTAGATTTTTTAAAATATCATTTTTTAAATTGAATATTTTAAAAATAATTGTTGTTGTGACATAAATAATTAAAACAAAACCCCCCAGAAATCTCAAGTATTAACCCCATTTGCTATTAAACCCCTAAATAATATGTGGGCCAACCAATTAACTTCAGAAGTCCTGTAATTAATTAATAAAGGTCCACCTGTGTGCAATCAAAGTGTCACATGATCGGTCACATGATGTCAGTATAAATTCAAGAATTTTGAAAGGCTGCATCACCACTAAGCAAGCAACATGAAGACTATGGAGCTCTCCAAACAGGTCAGAGACCAAGTTGTGGAGAAGTATAGATCGGTCATATGAGACGAAAATTGAGCTTTTTGGCTATGGTGAAAAACACTATGTGTGGTGCACACCTAACATTTCGCATCACCCAGAGAACACCATACCCAAAGTGAAGCATGGTGGTGGCAACATCATGCTGTGGGGATGCTTTTTAGCAGCAGGGACTGGAAAAATGGATGGCACTGAAAACAGGGCAATTCTTGAAAACCTGTTTCAGTCTGCCACAGATATGAGACTGCGACGAAGGTTCACCTTTGTCGCAGCAGTTTTGCTTTGGAGAATGGGCAAAAATCCCACTGGCTAGATGTGCTAAGCTAATAGAGATATAACCCAAGAGACTTGCATCTGTAGCACATTGTGGGTCTACAAAGTATTGATTTCGGGAAGTGAATACTTATGCACACCCAAGATATTTTTTTTGTCTTAATTATTGTTTGTGTCACAATAAAAAAGATTTTGCGCCTACAAAGTGGTAGGCATGCTATGTACATCACATGATATATACCCCTAAAAAAAAAATCAGTTTTAAATCTAGGTTGTAATGCAATAAAACAAGACCTCTAAACGCTCTCCTTAAACTAAGTTTAGCAATAAAAGGTAGAAAGACTAAAGTGACTGGCAACCAAATTACCTACCAAATTACCTTTCTCCCTACTGTATCCCAGGAGGAGTGCTACATTACACAAAGTGTCAGAATGCAGCGATCAATGGACAGGGAAGTACTAGCAAAACAAACTGCAGAAGATAGGCTGAAGGCCAGATAGAAGGCTATAGGCTTGAACACAAAGCATTAGGTGGCATTAGGTTTCCTTTTTCTACTTACAGTAGAAATACTCACTACTCATTGGCATAAGAACCAGGATCGCAGGATTAAAGTGACACTAAACTCAGGAGTTAACTCTTAAAATGCATTTAAGTACCTTAACTATTAACAAAAATGTTGCTTATTTGTTCACCTTTAAACTGTAGATCCTCATCTCTGAATTGGTGCTGACACTGTCCTTCCTTCTGGAGGGGGGCTACTTTTATTCCCCATGGTCCCTGTGTGTGTTGGAAATTAGCCTCCACTCCAAGCTCGCTTCTGTGATGGATTACAATCTCCCGTTTAGTTTAATAATCTGTATTGAAACTATAGTCCATCAAAGGAGTGAGCTAAGAGCAGTGGCTACTTTATAACATACACAGGGACCATGGGGAACAAAAGTAGCCACCCTCCAGAAGGAAGGACAGTGTCAGCACCAATTCAGAGATGATTTGAGGATCTACAGCTGTGAGATACACAAATAGATACATTTTTGGTAATAGTTAGGGTACTTGAACGCATTTTTAAAATTAACTCCTGAGTTTAGTGTCACTTTAAACAGGTTTGGAGGTTGCAAACTAGAGCAGCCTGCTATCAAGCTCCAAGATATAAGGAAAATTACAGTGTGAGGGTTTTGAGGAATGTGTGCTGGGTTAATGCAGCTGGCTACTCTCAGAACACTGGACATGTAATTCTTCAGTGCGATGCACAGCTTAATGTTATGCAAGATGGAAACAAATTCAGCTGTACATCTCTCTCCATGCACCTGAAAAATGGAGGTTTATATAAAACTGGATGGCATGTCTAAAAGAAAAATCACTTGAATTTGACAGGCATTTGCTGTTAAATTATGTGCCAAAGTAATCCAAGGTAACCAATTAACCAAGTCTTGTGACATTCAGCAGGATCTTAGTAAAGAAGTCTTCTACTTGCAGCTCTCTTGTTGCAGCTTGCAGCTCTGGTTAGCTAAGCTGTTTCACAGCCTCTCCGTCTTCCAGAACATCTGTGCCAGGCGTAGAAAACCTAGGAAAACAATAATGATATACAACATTAGTAATATGAAAATATTACAATAGTCTTTCTCCGGCTTAAAGTTTTCTTTGCCGGACTTTGAAGAAGAACTCTGGGAAAATTACAAATGAACCATTGCAGTGCGGCTTGGGATCGAGGTTTGGGGGAGTATATATTTTTAATTTTAGGTCCTAGACTAAAATGGGCAGCTAACCCTCGCAGTGCAGGGGGTAGCCCCATTAAAAGGGTTAATTTGTAATTTGCCCAGAGTTGTTCTTTTATTTTCATCCTTTGCTAAATCCCCTCTTAGATCACAATGTCATACTATACATACATAGGAAACCAGTTCCCACCACACGAACAATCTATGCTGTAGCTAATTGGTAGGTTGCATACTCTACATAGGTACTGTATATAATTGGTACTGTATACTATCTGCTTTTGAACTGCTCTCGCTCAACATGGAGGCTGGATTCTGAATGCAAGAGCAGTCTACCTGCATTCTTTAAAGGATTCCTGTTCAAAGTGAAATGCAGCCATTGCTGAGCTGAATATACAAGCTGCCTGGCTGCCATGGTGATCCTCTGGTTACATATGGAAGAGGTATGCAGATCGTGAGTTCCAACTTCACTTGCTTCATTCTTGTTCCTGCTCAGTGACTCAGAAAAAGCCACAACAATTGCAGAGTCGGAGTCTTGCAATTAATCAGGGGGTTGTAGTTCCACAACAACTGGAGTGCCAAGGTTGCCCAATCCTGACTTAGAGCAATAAATGATAATACATGATACTTAGAGCAATAAATGATAACACAACCATAGAAGCAAATGAACATTTATCCATAGTGTCATTATACTTTTGTATTATATTTCTGTATAATTTCAGGAGTATATTAGGGGAATATTTCAAGTTCATGCAGATTAGATATAAATATGATTAGATCCAGGTGAGAGGAGATGTAAAAAAATAATCAGTACTTTATTAGAGGTGTTAGATTATGATGAGTAAACTAATCCCTTCAGTAAGTGCTCAGTATCCCTTATCACTTAAAGTATATATAAAGCCCAAACTTCTTTTTTATACCTAAGATGCGTTAAAACACCTGTCTGGTTACTTGTTGATGCCTGTGTTCTGCTGGGGAGACTTCCCTTCATTTCCTGTTTTAGAGACGCAACAGGAAATAAGAGGAGAACTCTTAAATGTAATTCCCATCTTAGAGAGCTGTCACAGGTGTCCTCACTGGAGCATTTTCCCTTCACCTTTTGCTCCAGTGGCAACTCAAATTTGTATGAGAGTGTGTAGGAGGAAACGAGGCGCTAGATCCATGCTGTTGTCAGGAGACCCACATGGAAGTTAATGTGTTCTTCATGTTTAGGATATTCTTGATAAGGCTGCTCCCACACAGATAGGGACCTCTAAGGCAAATTGAGGGGTCCAAGATAGGCTCAAATTGAAAAAGATTGATGGGGCTCCACTACAATCTGATCGGGAACAGAAACAGTAATAAAGGTTTGATAAGGGTCTAAACCTTACCAACCCCACCCAAGCTTTACAAACACTTTAAATTCCCCACTGTCAAGGGCGCTGTTGGTCTGCTGTCCACTTGTGTTCCCTTTTACCCATCTGTCACTGAATAGGCCTGGAAGAAATGATGTATTACACTGATCACGTGGCACTGTCTTATACAGGTGCATCATGTGATTTTCTTCCCTGATGTTCTAGTGCAAAAACACAGAGTTTCACTTTAATTCCACACAGTATGACATCTAGTTTGATCTTAGAGTAAGATGTAGATAATAATTCATGCCTCACAGTCAGTTATTGTCATTATTATATGATGTTAACATTATCCAAAACACCTGCAACAGCGGCTCTGTTGGTAAACCCGTGTCTCGGTGCTGATTAAATTGCAAGGAAATCAATACAGATGTCTTGTAGTGCTCTCTTAACCACAGCCCGGGCTGCAGCAAGAGACTGCAGTAAAAAGATGTAAACCTCAGACACTTCATAATGCTAATTAAATAACTGCACCAAAATGTATTAAAACAAACTTGCTTAGTGAGCTGTTAGTTAAAAATGATGAAATTAGCCAAATGAGAAGAATAAAATGCAAAAAACCACACAGCATGTTTTTAAAGCATATTATGCCAAGCAAATATACCAGGATGGAAATACTATACAGGGATCCTGTCCCATAATCAACAATTTAAGAGTCTCTGTTTGTAATAAAATGGGGGCTTGGCAGGCATTCCAGACCCCTGCAAAAGTACCGCCAACCACCAGGATCTGAGAAGACCTGCTTTCCTGCTAACCCAAAAGTTTGCGCTAAGGCTGGCCACTGGTTTGCATCGCTTTTCACAGAGGAGAAAGCCCTCCGGCAGGAGAGCTCTTAAAGTTGGGTATGTGGATTAAGCATGGGCAGTTAATGATAAGCCTCAAATGCAAACCTGGCTGCAGCACCATCCAAGATATGCAGTAAGAAATTAGTTGCTTTTCAGCCAAGGCTAGATTTACAATTAGGCACAGTAGGCATGTGCATATAGGTGCTATAGGCAAAAGGGTGTTTTTTCCCTGTATAGTTATTAGCCAGGTATTTTTTCCATCATCGTTAAAATGCAGTGTCATATAAGCTTATTTACACACTGGCACCATATTCTAAAACAGTTTGTAATCAGTAAGGATGCACCGATAACGGTTTTTCGGTATCGAGCACTAGTACCGATATTTTGCTTTGCAGTACTCGCAGATACCGAGTACCGATACCGGTGCTTCCACTGGCATGGAGCTGGCTTTCCGGGCGATCAGGAATCCGGGGGGTGGGTAATGACATGTTGTTTGGCTGGCTCGATTGTGATTGGCCAGGAAACCGGCTTCCCAGCCAATCAGCATGGAGCCGGCTTCCTGGCCAATCAGGAAGCCTGGAGGCCGGTCATTACTCGCCACCTGGCTTCCTGATTGCCCGGGAAACTGGCTCCATATTCCCCTACGGCACTGGCGGTCAGAGGAAATATTCCTTTGACTGGAAGTTCTGGTATCGGGGAAGGTATCGGACTATTTGAGCGAGTACGAGTCCAAATACTAGGCATCGGCACCGATACCCGATACCAGTATTGATATCGGTGCATCCCTAGTGATCAGTGAAACAAGAAAATGTTCTGTGTAAAAGAGGTGACCCTGGTAGATTCAGAGTTACTTAGGGAACCAAAAATTATAAGCCTCCAGGATCCAGTGATATAAATTATTGTCCAGTGATAAAAACCTGGCCCTGTTTTCTGGACTGGAAACAGGTATAAACATTCAGTGAACCTCCCTCCATACAACATAAAACCTAAACTTAATCTGACCAAAACAATCAACCCTCATCCAAGCACTTACATTTTATGTGCCCCAACATTCACTTAACTCTCCTATACCCCAGCAGCATATACTCATCTTTTTTTGCACCCACGCAGCTTCATTTGGCAACCAGGAATGTGAAGAAATATCCAACACTTCTATGTATGGGTGAGCATGTAACTCCCTCACATTCTCCCATGTCTTAAAGAAGAACTCCAGGCAATTACAAAATTAACCCTTGCAGTGGGGCTACATTTTTTGTGTGCTGCCTAGGTAAATTAACATTTCTTGATGTTTTCTACAACATAGTGAATCTTCACTTTTTGAGTTCCGGCCCACTTTAAGCTATACTTAATTTCTCCTCACTGAAACTACTGGTGTTTTAGTGTCTGGATAAGTGCCAAAGTACCTGATCTTTGTACCAAAACAAAGAATCACTGAAATTCTGGGGCCAAAAATAATTAAAAGGAATGTTGGATGTCTGTATTTTATTACTGCTCTTCCAAGAACAATATGCAGAGACACCTGATTTAGGTAAGACAAGGTGACATGGCACCATAATGACATCACTTGCGCCATCCTTTCATAAAATCTAGTCAACCATGGGCACCAAAGTTGCTGGAAATATTAGCAGCCAACCAGGTATCTTCATGTGTATAGACAACAGCTTACCTTGGCTCTTCTGCTACAATTACTGGTCTATGTCCAAGAGATACAAGTTCTTTCTAAAACAAAGAGAAATGTGTGCATTAGAGCAGTTGGTATAATGGAAACTAATGCAAAACAACAGATAACAACTAATCATATTAAGTTTGCAGGTATTAAATGTTTACATTACAATGAATTTACACAATCTCATAGAAATTACTGTTTTTTAATTGACTGTTTTTCAATTGGCTCTTTTCAGTTTTTTTACATCTTTTTTGTGAACTGGTAAATATTTTAAGAAGTCCCATTTAATGTCAATGTGATGCATTTTCTACCTCATGGTGGAGGACCTCAGTAGTTGCCCAGGGTACTGCCTAATAGCACACCACAGTCCTACAAGGCATGGATTAATCACACCTTGCAACGAAGACACTCTCTCCAACAGACCAGGGGGAATCAAGAAACAGATGCATAATCTGTGGGTAGGAGAAGTCCTGTAAAATGAGCAGGGTCAGGTCTCCAGTATAGTGAGAGTAGTTTGATAGTACATAACCCAGTATAGTGAGAGTAGTTTGATAGTACATAACCCTCTATGTATCCGGTCCAGAAAGGTTGAATATATTGATATATAATACATACATGCACCAATATGCATTGTGGTTAACAGATCACTTATTTGTAGCTTGAGGTAGTAGACGTCTTTAAAAAAAATACATTTGTTTAAATGGAGAACTATGAGGTGAGTGATTTCCACTCATCTTCATAGTTAAGCCGACCTATGACAAAGCAGCTGTCACAGGTCGGCTCTATTGATTGGGAAGTGAGCAGAAACATGCACCGATCCACTCACTTCCCGATCATCTCCCTGCAGTGAGCGGTGACTGTCAGTCACAGCTCCTGTGGAATTAAAGGAGAACTATGGGGTCAGTGTTTTTCCCCATAGTTCTCCTTAGGGTAACGGGAGGACACAAACTAGCGTCCTCCCGTAGAATTTAGGAAGATGGCCTAACCACAAAGCTACAGGTTCCTGCATACTAATTAAGCAAACGTACACGGAAAACAGAATTAGGGAAGTCCTCCTCGCCTCATGACTGAAGTGACTCAACATAGGATGTACTAAGGAACTGTATAAAACATCAAGACAGGAAGGAGGGGGATGGAGACTCTTACAAGACTGAGTGAAGAACAGTTCCAAACTCTTCATTGTCTGTATTGAGTTTCCCGTGCACGAATAAAGCATTTGTTAATCTTTTCAAATATACCATCGCCTCGATATATGCTGAGATTCCATCAACACTCCTCGCAGGGATTCCCTCTTCCCCTCTCCGATCCTCCAGCACTGAGTGGAGGAACGGACATGGGAGGGGGTGGGCACAGCTGGCTCTACCTCTAGATAGGCAGAGCCAGCTGTCACTCACACAGCTGGGTAAATCTCGACAGTAATGTTGGGATCTGTCCCGGCTGCGGCGCTTTCAGTATATTGCGGGCAATAGCTAGCTATATACTGAGCTTTGAGTCACGGGAGGAGGTTAATATACAGTATGTCCTCCGGGGACCCTAAAGAGAACTATGGGGAAAAACACCCACCCTATAGTTCTCTTTTAACTTTCACCTACATGGCCAGTGGTGATCACCAAATACAATTAGATGAAACTTAACAATCTATTTGTAAAAAATGTGTGAGCTCTTCAAAACATACAAAGCAAAAGGAATCAGTATATTTGAGTCTGAATGCTTGCCAGTAGCATGTCATGCTGTGTGAAATGGATGAAGCAGAAGCTGAAAGGAAAGTCTCTAAAGATATAAACACTGCCCAATTAGCTATATATTAATGAAAGCATCGGCAAGAGTTTCTGCTGTGATGTGACAATGTGGTAGAGTGGAGACGTGACAAAATATTTATTCACTGGTGAGCTCAATGACACTACCAAAATGCTTTTACTCAGACATAAAATGATCCAAACTATTAAAAAGACAAGTCCATTATGGGAGCAGTTTGATGTTTTAAAGCAGACAGGAAAACAAGCGGACAGTGCTGTGGAGTCTGAAATGCATTTATTTGTCTTAAAAATTCCTTTGGCTCTCTTGTACTTAGAGTGCTTACTGTAAACCTGTGAGTCCAGAAGAAGAAGAGGCTCCAATCTACTGACAGTTATTATACAGGGCCGAGCCAATTTTTTTATCTATAATTCTTAGTATATAAGTAAAAGTATCCTTATATACACAGAAATGAAAGATTCCTTATTTATAAAAATTGATTGTGCAGGCTATTGATCTGCATGATGTGCTTTTAACTTGTATTATGTCATTCATCATGATTGAAATTCCCATAATTCTGGCAGGTTTACATTAAAGCAAACCTGTAACTGTCCCCAAAATTCAGCATTTACATATTTCAGGTTCCCAGAGTTTCAGAGACTCCTAGGGGCCCCCCTGAAGCGTTTTGGCAAGCCTAGGGCCCTGACTGGCATCTAGGAGTGCCTGGTCTTCCCTTGAAAGATTGGCTTGGAAACAGAACAGAGATAGATTTGCCTAGCAAGTCTTTAAAAGTTTACAATAATACTTAACAGTCTCGCTGAAAATTGGATCTCGGTTAATTGAATGGGCATCTACACCTGGTTGAATCTCCAGCATCTAACACTTTCAGGTGTGTCAGATGCCTGTGTCTACCCAATATGCACTGTGGTTTCATCCGCCGGACACTAAGAGGTCTATTTATAATCAATTTGAGTGTTTGTTCATTAATTTCCTTTTTTCCTGAGCCCCATTAAGTGGCAAAAATGCAGGATTAATTATAAACATTCGACCTGAAGAGAAAATATACACTATATTGCCAAACGTATTGGGACAACCCTCCAAATCATTGGGTTCAGGTGTTCCAATCACCTCCATGGCAACAGGTGTATAAAATCAAGCACCTAGGCATGCAGACGCTTCTACAAACGTTTGTGAAAGAATGGGTCGCTCTCAGCTCAGTGAATTCACGCATGGTAATGTGATAGGTTGCCACCGGTGCAATAAGTCCATCCGTGAAATTTCCTTGCTACTAAATATTCCGCGGTCACCTGTTAGTGGGATTATAACAAAGTGGAAGCAACTGGGAACAACAGCAACTAAGCCATGAAGTGGTAGGCCACGTAAAATGACAGAGCGGGGTCAGCGCATGCTGAAGCGTACAGTGCGCAGAAGTCGCCAACTTTCTGCAGAGTCAATAGCTTTAGACCTGCAATCTTTGTGTGGCCTTCAACAGTGCATAGAGAGCTTCATGGAATGGGTTTCTATGGCCGAGCAGCTGCACCCAAGCTTTACATCACCAAGTGCAATGCTAAGCGTAGGATGCAGTGGTGTAAAGCACGCCGCCGTTGGACTCCAGAGAAGTGGAGACGTGTTCTCTGGAGTGACAAATCACGCTTCTCTCTCTAGCAATCCGATGGGCGTGTCTGGGTTTGGCGGTTGCCAGGAGAACGGTACTTGCCTGACTGCATTGTGCCAAGTGTGAAGTTTGGTGGAGGGGGGATTATGGTGTGGGGTTGTTTTTCAGGGGTTGGGCTTGGCCCCCTAGTTCCAGTTAAGGGAACTCTTAAGGCATCAGCAAACCAAGACATTTTGGACAATTTTATGCTCCCAACTTTGTGGGAACAGTTTGGGGATGGCCTCTTCCTGTTCCAACCTGACTGCGCACCAGTGCACAAAGCAAGGTCCATAAAGACATGGATCAGCGAGTTTGGGGTGGAGGAACTTCACTGGCCTGCACAGAGTCCTGACCTCAACCCGATAGAACACCTTTGGGATGAATTAGAGCGGACACTGAGCCAGGCCTTCTCGTCCAACATCAGTACCGGACCTCACAAATGCGCTCCTGGAAGAATGCTCAAACATTCCCATAGACACACTCCTAAACCTTGAGAGAGAGCAGAGTTGAAACAGTTATAGCTGCAAAGGGTGGGCCAACTCAATATTGAAGCCTACAGACTAAGACTGGGATGAGATTAAAGTTCATGTGCGTGGTAAAGGCAGGCGTTTTGGCAATATAGTGTATATAAAAGCGTTCATTTCTGTGTCTATTCACAAAGAACGAACATTCAGAACTATTTGTAGGGCAAATGTCTCTGTGAACTAGTTACAAATAGACCCCCAAGTCACTAGTGTGTCCCTACAACTCTTGAGGGACAAACTAATGGCATAGCATCTGGTTAGTGGAATCACAGTGTGCAGTAGGGAGACGCAGGCATCCAACACACCCAGAGGTCTCAAACGCCAAAGATTCTAACGACCAGTATACTTTGGAAAAAGATTTAATATACTGGCAGTGGTCCTGAATATTATTATTATTATTATACTTTTAAAGGCTGCCTTTTCACATTTTTATTAGCATGAGAGTCATTTAAGTATAAAGATTTGTTTGCCTTTATTTTGAAAAACAGTAATAACTTCTGTGCTACAAACAGCTTACATCGATCAACAACAACAAACTGATCCAGCAGGCAAAAGCTTATGCAGTAATTACAGCTGCAGCACTTCTGCAATGGGATAACTTACAATGTATTATTAATACCCAATTTAAAAAGGGATCAATAAGGATTAGGATGGCAGACTGAGAATGGCAGTGCAATGGGTTCATAAATCACTGGCAGCAGCTGAAACAGCAGTGGCAGTTTGATGTACAGCATTTCACAATGCTATACTGCGGCACCAATATATGATGAGCCTCCAGCCATCAGCCTGTTAAACATCCTTCAGCATTGCATTATAATTAATGAGAGCTCAGTAAGCAATCAAATTACATTAACTGGACATGTTTCAGCCAAACATTCATATTCATGATATATGCACTTGTATATTTTCAGCGAAAAAAGAATGGACACTTATCAAATTGCCATTAGATACATGTGCTTCAAAGTTCATCCACAAAGTTGAAGCATGTCTCCAGATATGTGTAAAAATCTGTTTAGTATATCCTTTTATTCATTGAAAATGGAGAAAACTTTGCAGAATATAGGGCTGCAACAACTGATCGACTAAGTCAATTATAATCGATGATGGAAAATGTTGTCAACGTTTCCAACGTCAATTAGTTGACCTTCGATTAGTTGCCTTCGGCTCCATGCGCCGCTTCTCCACCCCGCCTCACCCAGCTCTCAGACCCGCTCGCCGCTGCCAGGCCCGCCAGCCCGCATCCACAGGGACCCAGGTAGAAGACTGAAGCAAGGAGGAACAGGCGGAGGAGACAGACAGACCCACGTTCTCGGAAGAAAATTGCTTGGAGACTGCTCAGGTAAGACTGCCTGGACTTTCCCCCACATGGCACAATTCGCTGTATTAATGTATTACTGGGATAGTGGGATTTGTATTCCTCTATAGCTGATAGTACATTGCACTGTACCATCAGCTATAGAGGAATACAAATCCCAGCAATACATTATACACTGTATGTACTTTTCTTCATAGACAAAACAGGCACTTAACCCTTGCAGTGCTGGGGTAGCCCCACTGGAAGGGTAAATTTTTTATTTTCCTGGAGTTCTCTTTTAAATTATCATGATCCTTTGAACGCCGTTTAAACTTTCAAAATCAGACTGACAGAGATTACCTTCACTAGCTGCTGAATTGTGATAGAAAAGCCAGGGCAATTTGACTGATATCATATCACAATATATCATATTGGATCATATCGGGATCGTATCATACTTGTCTCCCCTTTATGCAGTTGAAGCTGTGCCAGGCAAGGGAGAAGTTTATTATGGTTGGACAGTCAGAAAGCAGAACTGGCACTCTAACATGCTCTACATAATGAATCATAACCTCAGAAAATGGAGTATCACACTTCTGAGTTAACCGGTTGAATTACTTTATATGGAAGCCAGTTGAAGAGTGTGGGTTAAAGGGCTGGTTGTATGGACAACAGTCTGAAGATAAGCAATGTTTGCCATACCTGCTCAAAGGGAAGCTATAATGTATTTCAGTAAACACATATGAAATTATTTTAATAATTACATTAAAGGAGGACTATGGGGTGAGTGACTTACACTCATCCTCATAGTTAGAGGTGATGTGTGACACTGAAACTGTCACATGTCGGCTCTATTGATCGCGAAAACAGCGAACACATACTGTCGCTCCCTCACTTCCCGATCATCTCCCTGCAGAGAGCGGTGACTGTCAGTCACCGCTCACCACAGGGATTCCCCCCTCCCCTCTCCGATCTTCCAGCGCTGACTGGCGGAATGGACGGGGGAGGGGCGGGTACAGCTGTCTCTGCCTCTAGATAGGCATAGCCCGTTGTCAATCAGCCAGCTTGGTGGATCTCAACAGTACTGTCGGGACCTGTCCCAACTGCGGCTCTCTCAGCATATAGTGGCAATAGGTCGCTAAATACTGACCTTTGGGTCACAGGAGCAGGTTAGTATATGTCCTCCCATGACCATAAAAGAGAACTATGGGGGAAAAAAGGTTTCCGCCGTAGTTCTCTTTTAAAGTAATTTTAATGTGACTTTCAAGTTTTGCTGTACCAAATTACTGTATTGTATATACCCGCTTTAGATTTTTCCTCTATAGGTTATTTGTTTTTACATCAGTCACTTTAAGTCTTAAAGTGACTGATCTAAACCCCAAAACAAAAATGTAATTTACTGCAGCTTACCAGTCTTTAAATAAGGTGGCTGCATTACTTTTTTTCCAAGCTTTCTTTCCTTTATTTTCACCTGGTGATTCTGCCAGTAGCAAACTTATTTTCCTTGGGTGACAATGCTCACTCACCGCACTGCATCAAGACAACCAAAACTGAACTACAGAAACTACCCCCTTCATCCTTCACATAACAAAGCTGTGACTGATACTGTAAGAATGCAGCACAGACAGGGAGCACAGGAAGTTGTCAGCTAGGATTTCTGGCAGGATCAAGAGGTATATTTCTGAGTGCCACTGAATGCTACAACTACTTTGAAGAGGCACTCTCATTTTAGGGTATGGGACCTCCAGTTGGAGAGATATTTTATTACTTCTTGTTCTAACAGGAAATGAGAGAAATCTCCCCAATGGCACATAGAAGCTAGCCCTTCACAGCTCTCTATAAAACATTAGTCTGGAGTTGTGCTTCAAGCTACTAAACATTTTTTCTGGATTTTTGTAACTCTTCCCATACCTTGATGCGATCTTCTCTTTGTCTTTTCAGTAACGCCATGATTTCTTCCCTTCTTTTTGCCTTTGGGAATGTAAACGACAATTGTTAGGATATGCATTCATGCTGATTGCTAATAAGCTGCTTCAAAATATACAAAATGGTAAATAAATGGCTTTAAATAAAACAGTATATGTCAATACAGTTTAATTGGGTTACTACACTTAGAGCATAGATTTTTGCATGATTACCTTTGATCCATTTACACTTATACTGTAGCTTTCCCTGCCCAATCCTCCTGCCAGCCATATGCTCTCCGTCCCCAATCAAGCCCGATATTGAGGGCAAGGTCACACAGTCTCTTGTCAAAATCTTCTGCACTCCATACTCAATCCTGTGCAGAGTTCATACTCTTTTGGATCAAAGAATACAAACTTTCCATACGACTTAAAGGAGACAGCACAGGCAAAAAAAATTCTGCACACATCAGATGAATTTACTGCATGCACATTATACGCTGTTGCATACTATTTCTACACATTTATAGGCATTTTGTATGTAAAAGTTTATTTTGCTCCTTAAAATATCACAAGCTGTAGTAAAGCTTACGGACAGATTTTGTTAATCTAATAGTTAAGACATTGCTGACTTAGCCAACAGGGTAAAGGGGATATGTCCCTGCTCCGAATGCTGTTGTTTAGCACAAAGGCTGCTATCTGAGACTTCAGATACTCTCTATTTTGTACAGGCAGTGACAGTCTACACTGCTCGTTAGGTTTTAGATTGGCTAGAACCAGTTTTATCTTACTTACATCTTCAGAAATCATAATCAGCATTTAGGCAGCTTATTAAGCTCTAACTCAACATCAATATAACTTTCTAGTGGTGGAATGTCCGTCCCCAAAACATACAGTAGTTCTTACTTGCAAAGCTGCCACCACATAGTGACTCTCCACAGAGCAACAGGCTATTGCTTCCTCAAGAAAAGATAAGGAGAAAAAGACAGGCAGCTGCCAACAGTATAAAACATAGTCAAAGTAGTTGCATCAATGCCTTTGATGACTCCAGTTTCTCAGGAACACATATCACCCTGGCCTTTGCAGTGCTTTTAGTCCACAGAAGATCTTTCTAGTGCTTTAACTAGAAAGCCTTCCCTGTGCATCTCTCACTCTATATATATAATTCAACCTCAGTGGGTCACACCACACTGTCAGACATGCCAATCAAGTATCAGTACTGAAGATGAATTCTAAAATCACAGCAATCATTTACAATAAATCCACAACCAGCAAAGAACAAGGGATGGAAAATTTGACTGACAAAGTGAAGTAGACCAAAAGATCCTCAAAAGCTACACATCATGCCGAGATCCAAAGAAATCCTGGAACAAATGAGTAAGAAAGTAATTGAGATCTATCAGTCTGGAAAAGGTTATAAAGCCATTTCTAAAGCTTTGGGACTCCACCGAACCACAGTGAGAGCCATTATCCACAAATGGCGAAAACATGGAACAGTGGTGAACCTTACCAGGAGTGGGCGGCCAACCAAAATTACCCCAAGAGCGCAGCGACGACTCATCCAAGAGGTCACAAAAGCTATAATGTATTTCAGTAAACACATATGAAATTATTTTAATAATTACATTAAAGGAGGACTATGGGGTGAGTGACTTACACTCATCCTCATAGTTAGAGGTGATGTGTGACATTGAAACTGTCACAACAACATCCAAAGAACTGCAGGCCTCACTTGCCTCAGTTCAGGTCAGTGTTCATGACTCCACCATAAGAAAGAGACTGGGCAAAAATGGCCTGCATGGCAGAGTGAGAAGACGAAAACTGCTGCTGAGCAAAAAGAACATAAAAGCTAGTCTCCGTTATGCCAGAAAACATCTTGATGATCCCGAAGACTTTTGGGAAAATACTCTGTGGACTGATGAGACAAAAATTGAACTTTGTGGAAGGTGTGTGTCCCATCTGGCCTAAGAGTAACAGTAAAATATGGTGGTGGCAGTGTAATGGTCTGGGGCTGTTTTGCTGCTTCAGGACCTGGAAGACTTGCTGTGACAAATGGAACCATGAATTCTGGGGTCTACCAAAAAATCCTGAAGGATAATGTGCAGCCATCTGTTCGTGACCTCAAGCTGAAGCGAACTTGGGTTCTGCAGCAGGACAATGATCCAAAACAAACCAGCAAATACACCTCTGAATGGCTGAAGAAAAACAAAATGAAGACTTTGGAGTGGCCTAGTCAAAGTTCTGACCTGAATCCTATTGAGATGCTGTGGCATGACCTTAATATATATATATACACACACACAAATACAAACCCATACAGTATGGAACCCTAAAATGGTTAAAGTTACCAGCAGTAGAATCATGCTGCTCAGCCAATCTGATTTGGAAAGAAATGTTTAATGTTTCCTAATGGAAGCAAAGCACTACTCCAGCAATTAATTGGAAGCAGTTATTTGCTGACTTGCAGAATGCCCGTGCTGCACAGCTCAGCCTCTTCTAGTGTCTACTACAAAGATTTGTATGGCTGGCTCATGTCCCAGGCATAAAATATGCTTTTTCAACATTAAACCAAGAAAAAAAAATTACTGGAATGACAGTTTGCCAGTTTGTGAAGTTATGTTCACTGGGTTACAAATGGCTGGAAAGAAAAAGAATACTGCACAGATAAAGAGACAGGATGTGTTCATCTGATCATTACTGGGACAAAGCTAGAATCTTTACAAGGCAAGCCTTAATAAGAAGCCCCAATGCACATTAGAGACTTATTTACTGTCTTTTGCATAATTTTGTACATAAAAACAAGCAGACAAAATATTCATCATAAATAAAACATTTTGCTTTAAAAAAATTAGAAAATACCTTTAAATGTATATTTTGTTAGCGCTCACATGACTGCTATCCCTCTATGTGGAAGATGGTGAGTGTGTCACTTCGGGTGGTGTCACCAACATATGCTGAAGTTAAACTTCCTATTAGTTCAATGGACTTGATGGAATGCCTGAAGCCACATAGCATGAGGGGGCATGTTCTGGTGACAACTTCACCCCTACTGGGGTAGTAGGTGAGCGCTGTCACTCTGAAAAAGGTAGTGCTATCAAATACATTTTATAAAAGCGCTATAAAGTAAAAGTAATACTAACCTTTCATTTTATTATTATAAACCCAAAAAATTGTAAAGCTCACAGGGTGACAATATAGAAACAAATTAAACTTTAAGTATGTACTATCCAAGCCATGCCAAACTGAAAAGTCAAGCTTTACCTGGGTAACGTAAGACATTTCACACGTGGCCTGCCTCCAGTCAGGATACCTGCTTCTCTCCTGAATACTAAACAGCTACTTCACTGACCTCTTCCACTGAAGCAATAGCTTACATTTGTGCCACCCCACTAGTCTCCTTTGGGACAATAAACTACATTATGATTATTAAAGAACAGACCAAGCAGTGCAAGTGAAACTGTCATATAAGTACACTATTCTTCGTCTGTATTTAGGCTACTTGCTTTTGGCAGGTTTATTTAATTAATTAACAACTCCAATGAACTGCGACAAGACCCACATATGATCAGATCAAAGTTATACATTTGTGCCATTGGCAGGTTTACAAAACAGTTTATTACTGAAGGAAATCTCACATAACATATCTATGAGAATTAGAGGTCTTAGTAAGACCTGTAGGATCTACTAATGTATTTGTTGTAAAACAAACAGACAGCGCCAGGGGCGGACTGACCATACGGGCACGGCCCGAGGGCCCGCGGACACCAAGGGGGCCCGTGGCCTCACCCCCTCCAATAGTTTTTGCAGATTGCTGACTGGGCCCGGAGAAGACTACGGCTCGTCTCCTGCACCAGACTCTCCCTGGACGGCCGAGCATCCCGTTGCTGTCATCCAGATGGCCGAGGTGAACAGCATCAGCGGTGTCAAGGGGATTGCAGGGCAGTGGCGGTTTCCCCCCCATCCCGAGATAGTGCCACTCCATCCCCCTGCCAGCGCTCTGCCACCCACAGTGGTAGGACCGCTGCATGTTCGGGCGTCTGTGCGGGGGCGGAGAGGCTGTGACAGTCAGGTCTGTGCAGCCTGGCGGAGCCGCTACAGACAGACACTGCAGGCACCACCAGGCAGCACATCCTGCTGTGTGGGAGAGGACCTTCTCCTGCTCTTCGTCCTGTCCCCTGGGCACCAAGAAGAGGAGGATGAAGGCTGGAAGAGGGGGCTGGAGAGTGTTGAAGCTGGTAGTTTTAATTAAGCAGTGCTGATTTGCAATATAATGTATTTGTAGTTGGGGCGGACTGACCATATGGGTAGGTGGCCGCTTGGCGGCCTCCCAGCCCCTGTGCCCCTTCCAGCCCGCATGGGAGGAACTTGGGTGCTGGGAGGACGCTAATTTGTGTCCTCCCGTTATCCTAAGGAGAACTATGAGGAAAAGCCTTAACCCCATAGTTCTCCTTTAATACTGACAAGCTTTTTTTGGGTACCCAAAATTGTTTAAGAGCAGCGGCCCAAAGTTCTGATCCACAGAAGCTAATATTTGCTACATACATATTGCCATGCAAGAGGATAAATGCCCACTATAAATGGCACAGCCATACTTTGAAAGTTAGATGTTAGAAAATATGAAAACGGTTGCAATAGAAAGCTGCCCACCATTATTTGCGGACTATACACCTTAATGATTTTAGGTTTTTTCCCCTCTGTTCTCTTTTAGATACTGCCAAACAAACGTCACTTATGTATTAAAGAAAAACATATTTTTCACAAGAAAGCCATTGATATGCCCATCTTAAAAAGAAATTTCAGAGGAAATGTCCTGATAGATACAGTATATAAGGGCTTATTTTATAATACAGTGCAAAGAACAGTGGTTAGTAACCAATGGCAACCAATCAGAAATAGGCTCTCAGAAAAATAGGCTGACAGAATATGGAGCAGTTGCAAAGTAACTAATCAGCTTAACTGTTTAATTGGTAAAGCTTAACTGAACAAACTGAAGAGAGAAGCTGATTGGTCACCATGAACAACTTCTCCAGATACTGTCTGCTGCAGTTTTGATAAATTCCCCTCAAT